GAATGATTAACTTTGGATGACGACCAAGCTGACATTTAGAGGTAAAGTGATTTTCTGCAACGTGAAAAAGGAAACAAAGCAACAGGTCAAGAAGGAAGCAAGAATTCCAACAAGGGGTGTATTTCCTATGTGCGTGTTCCCCCATGCTTAACTTTGTTCACCATGGCGTTCATTGCATGCGCTTTCTCTGCTGAAAACTTAAGAACATATGGCGTAGAATTTCCATATTCGATTACTATGTCAGGTAGGGCAGAATGTGCCGTTAGTATGAAGTGGTAACCTATAGAAAACCGCTCAACGCTTCGCGCGAAGGGCCACTGCATGTGTGGTGGATGTCTCATTGTACACAGTGAGGGCCTAGTATAAGAAATGTCATGGGGGGAAATGTTATAAATTAATAAATATTTTGTTCCCAGGTTATGAGTTTAACATGGGAGAGGCCAGTTTACAGGCATCATCAAGTTGGTAATTGTAGAGAAACCTAAAAAAATTGAGTAGTGTTGAACTGTACAGAGGGGGGGATATTGAACTCTATCATGATACCAGGTGTCTAAACATTGTGAAAAGAGCAGGAAAATACCACCTTACAGTACATGCACATCATTCTAAATTTGGATCGTTCCTACTTACAATTCTTTTCTCACTAAAGTGGCATAAAATTGGCTCAATACTCGGTGTTTGCGTTATAAGTGGTCAGCATGACTGACCCGCCCGCAAAACACAATGATCTTAACTTTATTGGCGAAGAATAACTTGCTTCAATGATTCCGGGAATAAGTAAGTATCAGTATAGCCATTTAATCCAGGTATCCAAGTTCAATCATTTCTCACACTTCGAGTGTTATCTTTCCCAGCAATTAAGAATGATAATACTGGAAATATTTGTTGTGGTGCAGGTAATTAAAGACTGGAAGAACCGTTGTTCAACAGTGGTGAATTTTACACACATGTAAAACTTCATAGATTTCATATTGAAGTGTTCAGCAGTGTAAAGAAGATACATTGACTGTTGATTGACTTCTATCAGATGGATTCATACAAGACAAAGTACTAGGGAAATCTGCTACACAGCGTTATCATGGATGTGATGCCGTTAGGTAAGGGGATTTCTCGAGTTTAGTTGTTTATCCAGACTTATGCTGCATTTGTGACGGACCAGAAATCGGAGACCAGTTATTGTGCCTGAGGTTTCATATGCAGTAGCATTTAGGGTGCTGCCACTCAGGCGAGTTGATCGCGAAGGTGTTAAGGAAGCGGGAAATCGGGGCAGGATAGTTGGGGAATTCTAACCTCAATTTGCAATACTACGTACGAAGTAGGATTTGAGTAAGTCGATACTTTTGGTCAAATCAATGCTTAGGATTTTATCGTCGGGTTGATACTGAAAAGACAAGAGAGAAGGAAGCGCGATGAGAAACTGGACAATGGAAAACCACGCAGAACAAACTGAGAGAAGAGAAGTGATTGTCCTTTTAGAGTCATTCGGACTGTATGTAGACTTTATGCATATAAGAATAACTCTTCTGTTTTTCTCACGTGAAGCTCACACGAGTTGTTAGATAGGCAGTTTTCGTCTGTAAACTTAAAGGGAACACTACGTACTTGTACTGCATCATCCATCCGGATGAACTAGCAATCGAACACTTTTTATAGGTCCATTGAGGTAAAAGGTACTCACCTTAAACATTCGGAGGTCCCAGTATGTTTTCATTGTGCAGCACGCTGAAGAAGAGTGTCAGGTTAATTTTGAGTCGTCTCATCCAAAGGGGTTCTAGATTGGGGTTCTGCATCTGAAGTTGTGGCCCTGTCTGCAACCATATCCTAGTAACCTGGCTGTAAAATACCTTTGGACACCCCCTATTTTTAGGTCGTCTCTGATGTGGATGCCACTCGATATAAAAGGACGATATTCTAATATTGGACGTGCGCAAGTTTTACGGAGCAGTAACTTGACTTTTTGAGGTGAAAGTTATAGGCTGTGCAGCCCATTAGGGTCTTAGATTTGCAGGCCTGTGATGCCACGTGTTCAGGAAGTGTGAGGTCCCTTGAATATCTCAGTCCAAGTTCAGGGACACCTTTAAGAATAGGTAGTTTCATAGACTGAAGATTCAGCTGGATGTCTGCCAACGGAGCACCAAAGCATGTTCAGCCGCATTTGCTTGTATTGAACTGAAACTTCCAAGTCGTAGGCCGTGCTGATATTATAATAAGCGAGTTAGCAGTAGTTATTTCATCGTTGTGGAATTTACTACGTCATTCAGTAGCACGTTTACTTGAGACTTAACCCACAGTTTATCGGTATTTTTTGCTGCAGTAAGGCCAGAGAGCTACAGTCAGTTGCATGTGGTTAGGATTTCTGTCGATAACCATTTATGAATGCATATAGAGTGACTTGTTTAATCCACAAAGACATTTTAAGTGGACAGGGTTCAAAACTTCTACGTGCTATGTGGTCACCTTTGGCGAACAAGAATGCGAGAAAACAGAGGAAAACAATGCAGCAGTAAACTGAGAATAGAGTGCCACAATGTGGAGCAAGTTACGAGCGTACCGTGTTATATTGGCGTTGATACTTGGTCATGTGCCCCCGGCTTGGTGGATCCGCTAAAAGTGTGACGCTCAGCATCAACGTTGAGTCTCTTCGAACCCTGGGTATTGATCTTGGTTACCCCAGCAACCTTGCCTGGGTCATCCATTCGTTGTTAAGCTGCAACCAGCAGCATGTAGAAGAACCTCAGGAGTTGTGGTCATTGTGCCATACTACCCATGATTTCGTGCATTTTCGCTGATCCATTTCGGGTTTAATCAGAAACCACAACGTAGAGATCATCCTTTGGAATTGCATATGAGAGCACGCATGAAGGTCCGTGCTAACTTGCCAGCGGCTGGGATCTGTAAACTGTCGGAGAACTCGTTTGAAGAAGTTACTTCCACCCATTGCTCCGATGCTCTTGGAAGGAGGCTAGACACCAACTTAAATTCCTGTAGTATAGGTAAACAGTAGTCGATAAGCTTCTTGTCGTTTTGCATACTTCCTGTATCCGCAATCCCAAAAGGAACGTGAATAATGATCGATTATCTCATTCCTTTTAGGCTTTTCAGCACTGGGAAAAGATACTTCTCAGAAAGAAACTCAGAACTTAAGGTACCACAGTTCAGTAATTTCTGCAGAACGAAGTTTGAGATTTCAGAATCCTAAGTACGGCTATCTGATGCAAAGAATGAATTTCAGAGGCACAACGTTATCGCAGGCTTAAGACAGTTAGAAAAAAGTTGACTGGACTTAAGTCAACTTAATACTTTTTGTTTTTCTACATCATCAGCAGGGTCAAGTATGGATTAATTACCTACCGCTGATTATCAGTTAAACGGTACGTGGTTTGTGTTTTTAGTTAGTCTGGTATTCAACATATTTAGTGTGTACATTTAGCTTCAGTAATGCAAGTGTTTTATGTTGCTGTATATTTTATGCATGGTTTTACCGATTTTGGCCACTGCTGAAAAGGTACGGTGGTTCATTTGTATGAATCTTAGTTAGGATTTGGCTGGGTTGTTTTACAAACATTGAAGGGTTAGAGAATAGTTGGCATTAGATGTAAGCGGTGTTAAAGAAGTGTTTTATCTAAAATCTTTTAATGATAACATAGTTCGTGAGTCCTTAGGCAGTAATAGACTTCATAGACAGGGTGAGCTTCTTCTGATGGAACTTCGACTAGAAGTCACTCTTTAGTTTTCCAAAGACAATCAACAAATTTTTGTCCTCCGAATTTCTTTCCATTGGTGTGGTGGATAATTGTACTGAGGAGATAGGTGGTGCTCAATAAGTGTGACAGCTTAATTCTTACTACTTCTGAATGACTTTCATAGCATATAAGTTTCTCATCAAGTCGGTAGACAGGTCTTGGTAGTAAGTTCTGGAAGATGTCGTATGCTGGCAGAACTAAAAGTAAGGTTATGTGGTCTACAGGTAGGAAATCACTCAATTTTTTACTGCTAGTCTTTGTCGTTTTAGTTTGTTTGCTAACTGACTTATGTTTCTGAGGCAAACAGATGTTTACAGAATATCATGTGACTTAAATGGGTTGTAGCAATGCATAATTACATGTTTTTTCATTCTGGATCATTCTTTGACTTTTCCGCTTCTGGTTTAGGAGGTTTATTGAGAGACGTCAATGCCAATATTGGTCGGCTCGTTTCTCGTTGACTTATAAGGAAATCTTTTTGACGTTTTACACAAAGAAACTGAGGCTTCCTGACATGAATAAACTTCTTATTGTACAATTTATTAATCCCTACATTGTACGTATTTTGTGTTGTTCCCAGTTGATCTTTCCTGGTCTACTAAAAAAGGACTGTGTTATATTGCGTAGGGCTTTGAAAGCCGTCAGTAGGATGAGTGGTGCGCATCTGACCCAACTGACTAAAATTGTGGTTGATAGACACTTAAGTTCCAGCAAACAACTAGCTACAGTAATTTTAACTCACACTGAGCATCCACTTTATTCACAGATATCTCCATGTATCTCTTCAGAGACTACTCGAAGAAACTACATCAGGCTGTACGCTCGTACAGCTAAGTACAAGAATTTGATTGTGCCTTACGTAGCGCGCATATTTTTTGTGAGGAAAAGCGTATTAGAACAGAACTCACATATCAACTTTGTAACGGTTAATAATCTCATTTCAATAATATGGTAAACAATGTAAAGTGTCCTCGTTACTAATATTGTTTACATTACTTAAATTTTGATACGTACACACATCCATTTTATTGTTGCAATATATCGTGCTGAGAACTCCAAGCTGTACCAAAAATTGTTTGGAATTAAGTGTATATTGTTATTATTATCCTTGACGAAATAAACGTTTCATTCGTCAATGATATCCCCTTGATGAAAGTTATTCGGTACTCGAAAGCAGTCAGACGCTAAATGTAGCTTAAATTCACATTACTTGTGTAATCATTATTCTTTTTGTGATGTTTTTAGCCATTTATTCCAATGGATTGCCCTCCGGTAAACTTTCAGGGCATTGAGCTGCAGTCAAATGAAACAGGAGACAGTGGAAAGCCTTCTTTTTGTGCTCATCGGACACCAGCTAACTTAGAAGTATGTTCACAGTCGTTTGCTGAATCTCTTCCTCTTATATACATATATTCGTATTAGCCATCCAAACCAGTTCCTTTCAACACAATAGCCTGTTTATAACTTTCTTTAAATGTACCCTGGCTTTTTTGAAAGGCGAATGTTTATCAGTTATCGAGCCAGCAACAGTCATAAATAGATGGTACTTCACTATTCAATGGGTCTAAACTTCTGATGTTGTCAGTATTCATGTGTTTTTTAAAACATCGGACGAAGGTTGCACAATTTATCGTTAGTCGTGACATAACGTTTCAAACATCAATTATATACCAACCAAATCTTGTACATCATGGTTGACCATAAGGATTTTGATCGTGGTATGAGACTCTAACGTACAGAGAAAGTTTAACTTGCTTTCAGTATATCTTCTCTGATCACTCCTGGATAGTTTTTACAGATAATATATGCATTTGGTACCTTGGTTACTTTTGTGTACCACATTTCAGAATCCTGTTTTTCTTTGAGTTCACTTCGAATAATTTTGCTTTGTGTCAGAAACGCTTAAAAATCTTTGGTGATTAATTGCATAACTATGTTCTTTCGATACATATTTACATTAGGTACGTCTTAGAATAAAGCGGATTACTGTGGGGTTAAATTTCTCATTGATGAGCATCTCGATTTCATTCACACAAATGGGGTGGGTTCAGAAATGCCAATTGTCTCCTACAGCTGTGCTGATACTTTTTTGGAGCTCTTTTGTCATGGATGATATAAGTGGTCCTGTAAATGAGCAAGTTTGCTCATTCAAACATTTGACTCTTTCCCTAGTAAAGAAGCTCTTCACCTCATAGCATTGTTTCTAATTTGTGAGGCGTCAAACTTATGGAGAACATTATATTGCTTTGCTTAGTTTCCGAAGACTACGCCTGGTCAAGACTTCTGTCCGTCGTTGTCTAATTCTTCCAAAATTTTTATCAAGTTAAGACGTCCTCCACGGCACACTTTTGTGAATTTTACACGACTGTTCAGTGATGGTGCTCAACTCTTGGGCGCAAATGAAACTAATTTTTCAGTAAATGTGTAATTGCTTATCGTTTAATAGGCCTATTCCATTAACTGAGCATCCCAAAGATATTATATTGTCAAAGCTTTCTGCAAGAGATGGAGAAACACTTTATAGCGTCCACAAATGCAAGCTAATAAAGTCAATTATGGACCCAGATTCTCACTTTTGTCATCTACGAAACGAATGTAACCCATCGTGTCTACTTTTACCTTTGTGTAATCTACATGTAATATATTTGGCAAAGGTGCGTAGTAGTTTGATGATTTGACTAGACTGTACTAAATTATAATTTCTGCTGTGAACTAAGTTACTTCACTATTACGTTGTGATCTTCGAATAACGCCAACAACCAATGAAGTTACTGATCAGTAGGGCAATCAACAATAAACGAAAAATGCAAGATATTTATCACATCTCTTACGGCATTCATAGGACAGTCAATGAGACGGCTCAAAATAATCTGATTGGTACATCGATTTGTCTCCCTAATAATAAAGTCGTGAAACCCTAATCATAGACAAAAAGTATGGAAGCGAAATAGCATGATAGAGTAATACTACTTGTCAGACTGACAAAGTTTTTCAGGACATAATCACATATCCTAATAGCTTCAATTGCTTCGCTAGAATACTCTTTGTTTCTTAATTAATCTATAACTTTCTATTTTTTTGCTTTGTGGGATGAAAATTTTGTCAATCAACAAAACAAAACAAAACAACAGGAACATGAAATACTTACTTCTTCTGGTCTTTACCAACGAGTATATGTTCAGCCCAACAAAAATAAAACTGCAATTATTACCTATCATGATATTGGGACTAATCGTGAGTGTTTGAGTGATTTTACCCTTATTGACCCATCAATACCTGCGGCATTGCTACAAAGCCTTATTCGTTATCATATATATATATATATATATATATATATATATATATATATTATATATATATATATATATATATATATATATATATATATATATATATATATATATATATATACTTGTACTAGAAGTAGCATTCATCATGGGCTGACATCAGTCGTGGAACCATTGAAAATCTGGGAGCACTGGACAGCTGTTTCGTCCTAGTATGGGACTCCTCAGCAGTAAGCACCCACGACCCGGCTAGGGGTTGAACTCAGGACCTTCAAGTTTTACGGCGAACGCGTCAACCATTCAGCCACTGGGTCGGTTTCCAGTGGTTCACAATTTCCAACTTCTGTCAGTTCACGACATAGCACGACTGTCACCCAAGGTCTTCAGTTAGCATCCACTTCACTTTCGACTGGTTGACCCCACAGGTCACCCTAGCCGGGTCGTGGGTGCCTACTGCTGAGGAGTACCATACTAGGACGAAACGGCTGTCCAGTGCTCCCAGATCTTCAATGGTTCCCCAACTGATGTCAGTCCATGATGAATACTACTTCGAAATTTAAAAAATCCCCATTCATCTCAAATATATATATATATATATATATATATATATATATATATATCAACAGTAGATCTTACCGATTTTCCAAAGGTTTACCTTGATGAAATCCACAGGTATCAGTATTGTAAACAACTGTAAATCTCTGACCCATTGGTAACTTGTAACTCGATAGTTCACTACATCGCTTTATCCACTGATTTATGAGCCATACTTAGTATGCTGCTCAGCTGGTCAGGTCCAGATCAGTAGAGTAGAGTTTGAACCCAAAGATCATTGATTGAAAGTCGAGTCTTTAAACCAACCAATCACTTTTTAACTACACATATGTTAACCATAATATTAGTTATTTATTATTGTTAAATTTTGAACATCTATGTTATTATCAAAGCCTAATGTGAGCTATCCCATGAAACTAATATTTCGTGTAGCGTCCATCAAAGATGTCCAGTATTCTGCCTTATCATAAACATGATTGATTAGATCTTTCTCCTAGTAAAGACAAGATGTAGTCTTTCAAAAATATTTAGTAACAATTCAAAAATGTTGAAAACATGTTTTTCGTCTTTTAAATGCGGAAATCTACTTAAGAATGTATCTACATTGATGATTTTTGTGATAATAGTGTATGAAGTGGTTGAAATTGGACCGGTAGTGATGAGTCAGTGACTGACGAACTCTCAGTGGAGATGTGAAAAAACGTGATCAGGTGAGTGTACTGCGTAGAAGTCCACTTATTTCTACTCTGTAACTGTAAAATGTGGCTACTAAAGGTGGATATATGAAGGCTTAAAATATTTGATCAAATTTGCCTTTGTGGCATCGATCTCATGTTTAGTGGTTAACTGTAGAGTTGTAAACAAAAGAAGTAAGTCTGTTGTGTTGTCCAAAAATCATGGGTTATAATCACCTAGGGCTTAATAAGTGTCCTAATTTGGGGGTCATAAATGGTGGCATGTTGATTGGTTAAATAAGCTATAGAGTATGGGAATCAAGTCTCATCACTTATTTAGTCCTATTCCACATGCTTTTACCTAGTAAACTAGTTAGTATCATAATTCTTTACACAGTAAACGTGACTTATAGCCTAGTAAGTGGAACATGTATTGGATATATGTGCTCACTAGAAAGATATTGATGCATGCATTCATCTAACTTTATCGAGAATTGCAGGTTAAACTATTGCAATGGGTTTATAAGTCATACACATACAAATGTATCCATAACAACTAAAACATATGATATATTGGATTCCAATGCCCCAGATATTAAATAGAATTTAAGTGGCTAAATCACTGCGCTACAACTTCACACTAATAGTGTGTCCATAGGTGGCTGTTTTGCCCACTATTATTTTTTAAGAAATCTATCAATTTTAAACGTCAGTTTAAACGAAGAATACACTTTCTTAGGTCAGGTGTCTTTTACAAAAAGTTTTATTATTATTTTTCCGTTGGCTTCCTAGTAGAACATGGGGCGACATTAAACATAAATCATCGTCGGCGAAGTCCAAATCTTCCAGGGTCTTCTCATCGGTCAAACAGCGTATTCCCATCTTCTCGCTCCTCACGGTTCGCTTTATGATCCAGTCCACCACAATCAGGAAGATCATAGGTGATAGTAAGCACCCTCGTTTTACTCCTGTCTTCATTTCAAAGGCCTCGCTGAGCTTATTATTGTGGACCATTTGACATGTGGCGTCTTCATATAGTTGTTGAATGAGGTTGATAAAGATTTATGATATTCCGTAGTGTTGAAGCAACTGTCAAACTACTTCTCTGTCGATACAAAAGGTTTTAATGCGTATTAATTATACTTCTGTAAGAATACTTGTATTTATCCCGTTCTACTCTATGCATATGTTAGTTAATCTAATTCAAGTTAAGCATGACTGATAGTCGATATCTGTGCATCGTTAGCAGCCATTGCAGTTTTCGAATCATAACAATGGCGACAGGGATGAAATATTGGGAAGTGGACAGTTGGACAGTTTCCTTGTACAAAAAATGAGGATTATAGAGATACTTACATAATCCAAAATTTCTGGTACTGAATCCTCGCCTACTGCACCAGTTTCAATAGCCCCTTCAGTTGATGGAATCGCCAATAACATCACTGAATCTCAATACGATCCTGATACCAATGAAACGTTCGGTAGTTGGTTCAGGCGTTACGAAGACTACTACAAAGTGGATTTTGCTGGCCGAGATGATTCCTGGAAAGTATGTCTCCCACTTTGAAAGCGTGGTCCACATGAACTCGACCAATACTGTAACATGATTTCGTCGCAGAACCCACGTGATCACACTTTCGACGCCACGGTGTAGACACTGAATGACATGTCTTCAGAATATCAACGACTGAATAACCTGCAGCCCCATACGAGTTTAACCCAATCCGGGCTCCAGGGTGGTTCTGAAGTACACACACTTCATTCTTACGCATCACCCTCTGACCTTATTTCACCTGTTCATCGGCCCAGTAATTCATCTGATACCAACCGACCCTCAAAGAAGACACCCCTATTGTCTTGCTGGCATTGTGGTGCTTGGCATTTCATCATATCTTGTCCAGCTAAACAACATCCATACCGAGACTTTAATGCTAGGGGCCATAAGGACGGTTTTTGCAGCCAATACACACACAACGACGTGTACAGAGATTATCCTCCAGATATCACAACAGATCTTTTTCTTGATCGATAGGTAAATCTCTTGGTTCGATCGATGATTTACATGCTCATGAACCTGCCTACAAAAATAATATCAAAAGGACTACTGATCTCCCCCCACCCCCCGTAACAACAAGAAACTCTCTCTGTGTCGGTCAGATAAGGGCAAGAAGAAGACAGTGCGACTCACTTTGACCCCAAATAACATTCTTTCGAAGAAGGAGGTGACATGGGGATAGAGAGAAAAGACTAGTCTGGAGAGGGACCAAATAAACAGTGGATCAGCCAACAGCCAACTGTCTATGTATTAGATCTATTTTCCTTTGTTTTTCCGCCTTCGGTCATTCGACCCCATATACATTTCTACACATCCATCATGTCTTCTTCACAAATTAGTCGAATTAAAAATCAACTAGGAATTTGTTAAACGTTGGTGGCGGATAGTCGATATTTGTGTATTGTTAGCGGCCATAGCAGTTTTTGAATCATAACAGTTGGGATGCTTTTCAAAGCCGTCAAAAGTTAACTAGCCATGTAGTGGAGTTTAATTTGTTGAAAATTTAGACGTGTATTAGGATTTAGCTTTAGAGGCTTCAAGTCGACCCCCCAAATAACTACGTTGTATCGATTCTTCTATGTAGTTCAGAGACTTGGCGTGTAGTGCGAAAAGCATTTCCAACAAACTGCAAACATTCATCAACAGCTACCTACGCTCGATACTTAAGATCAGATGACCAGAAGGAATAAGCAACAAGGAACTCTGGATGGCTGGTTGGCTGGCAACCAACCAACCAACCAAGAATCTATCGCTCAACAAATATGCAGAATAAGAAAGTGGAGATGGATTGGATTCGACATAGACTGAGAAGGCCATTTGGGGACATCTCGCGTCAAACCAGGCCCTTGAGTGGAACCGAAGTAGGAAACAACGAATTGGGCGTCGGAGGCGAGGGTGATATGAAGGAAATGGCGTAAGGAAAAAAAGAAAGCTTGTAAACAGTGGTGGAGCCAAGTTGAAAGAGAAGATTGCGTAGAAGAGAGTGAAATGGCGACGTGCTACTGAAGCCCCATGTTCTACTAGGGACCCAAAGGACAAATAAAAATAATACATCAAGATGATGAGAAGGTGGTTTTGAGTATTTACCAGTGTAAAACTCCTTAAAATTAATAGAGCTTTAGCTCATGGGTTTAGGCAGTTGATGTTCAACCAATGAGTCGCGGCTTTGAAACCTTACCTTGCTATGGATGTTTGGGCAGCCAGATAGTATCTCTAACCCTCATACACAATAGGTGTGGCTCATTGTCTACTTCTTGAATATGCTCGTTCGGAATATAAAGCCTGGAGAATATGTATATTGTGTGAGAGGTAATGTTACTACCTGGCTACGCAAACCACCTCAGTAGATGGAGTTGCGATTTCGAACCCTTGACCCATTAGTTGAAAAATAACAGTCTAAACCTATAAGTCACATCTCCATTTCAGCTATAGATCCCTAACATCTTAAAAATCATAACTAGACGCCTGATTTTCTTCATAGTTAATTTCCCCTTATTTTATATTATATGCTAGAAGGAAGGGTAATCTAGGTCACTCCAACAGGCATGATACACATTGTTACAAGTTCACCATAGGAAGGACTAACTGAATTATTTTCTTTGCTTGTTTAGAGCACTACTTTTAAGGTTAGTATTTAACCACTTCCACCTGTACACCATATTT